ATATATTTTCTTATTAATTAAAACACTTCAACAAATTCATATTCCTTTTTTAATTATAAATTTATTAAATCATCTTCTTAACAACAAATAAAATTTAATTATTATAAGTATTAGACTAAAACAATCTTATATTATACAAGATAAAATTAATTAAAAAGTACCTTTTCTTCAATTTTATAAAGGATCTATTATGATCTACTAATCAATTGCATTGATACAACATATCAAGAATATTAACTTAACACCTATACCTACTTTTCTACTATATTAATATATACTTTTGTAATAGCTTATATAAATAATACAATATAGATAGCCAAAGATAAACAAAAGTTGCAAAACATACTTAAAACAGTAAACTTTTTTCTTTTATATGCTAATATTAAAGTTAATCTCAATAATTTAGATCTTAATACTAATATAATATTTTAAAAAAGAATATAACAAATATTAAACAAAATGCAATATTTAGACACCTAGGTGCATGATTTACTCAAGATACATCACTTTAACTTACAAAAAATTACTAATTAAAAATATTATTTATAATTTAAACAAAATCAAATAAGCCAAAATAACTAAGAAAACAGGCAATATATATCCTTAACAATGTTATTCTTTTATGTTCTACATATTAGATACAAAGCACTTACTTATTAAAATGATCTTATATAATAATTACAAACCTATATACAATATTGTCAAACAAAAAGCTTGACAAGTTCATTTTACATCTAATCCTACTTTATATTATTCTAATATATAGCTCTAAATATACTATATAATATTTAACAACAATAACAAATTTATATACTAGGTTCTAATATTAATCTCTCTAATTTTTACATTTTAAATTTAAAAATTTAGCTAATTTAAACAAATTAATCTTATTAAAATAACCAGTATTAACTACAAATAAAGTTAAAAACAAATTTAGCTCAAATGATACTTACACTATATTTATTAAATTTTAGCTTGAACATATAGCAAACATATAGCCTATTTTTAAACAAAAAAAAAGTACATCTATTAACTAAATTCTTTATTCAATAAAACAATCTTATTTAATTAAACAAAAATTAAATAATTACAACATTATCTGCATTGAACAATTTTTTAACTATTTAAACTATAATACCTTAAACTAAACATTATTCTATTATAATATACAAAAAATACCAAAAGAAAAAAATATTAAAATTGTTCAAAATAATTACAGACAATATAATTTTATTAATAACCTTATTTATAATACCAAATTGTTCAAAATAATTACAGACAATATAATTTTATCAGTAATCTTATTTACAATACCAAATTGTTCAAAATAATTACAAACAATATAATTTTATCAATAACATTATTTACAATACCAAAGTATTCTAATCTATATATCTTTATAAAATCAATACTACTATCTCATAATAAATAATCATAAAATTACAACTATTAAAAAAGTAACATATATTATTAATAATTAGACCAAAATCAAATATTACAATATTTATATATTAAATGCTTATTAATTAATTCTATATCTTAGATATAAAATTATAGACTTAAAACTAAAAATAATTTACTGCTACTTTATCAATCCAATATACCTAACTTTCAAGCTTCAAGTTAACTGCTATAAACAAATTTATACAAATATTACATATTTACACTTTTATCAAATAACTATATAACTTAAATAATTTTATAAATTTTGTTATCAATTACAAATTACTGCACTACTTATTAATTTATACAGGCCTTTGTAAATAAACAAAAAAATATAGAAAATGTATATAACAAGTATTTTTCCAAAAGAACTAAACTTTAAACTAATAACTAGATATATAAAAACAATATACTATTCATTTAACTTTTATTTTAGCATAATAAGCATATTTGGTACTATACCAACCAAACCTTTTCTTTACCAAATTATATAATGTTTACAATGTTGCCAATAATCTTTATAAAAATAATAGAAAGAACAAAAATTAAAATAATAACTGACAAAAACAACATTTTAAAAAAATCTCAACAATGCTTACAACTTTATCAGAACAAAAACATTAATTAACAAAAACTTTATTCAATAATATATCTATTTTTCTTAGTACTATAATTAATGCTAAAAACCTAAAAGTTTAAAGTAATTTAATATAAAAAAAGATTAATATAAAAAATACTTCTCTTCAATTGTATATTAACTTACTTTCTAATACAATACTTAATACTACTTTTACTTTTTACATATTAAATATACTAACTACATACATGAACTACTAAATATCTAAAACTTTACAATAAGCAAAAGCAATAAGCACATGAAGAAATCAGAAATGTATTAAACATATCTCTGATAATTTTCTTAACTTTAATTAAAAACTTATATTTGAATATTTTAATTTTAAAAACAAACCTCTTAGTCAGAATGCTGACCCTACAAAATCTACATTAAAAATATTTAAAATCAAAATTCTAATCTTAAAATTACCAATATATTTTAATTTTTATAAAAGAAATCCAAAATTTCACATATGCTTACAACCAAATAGAACTAAAAGAAATAATAAAAAAAACAATAACAAAAATCTGTAAAGATAACAAAATTGAACCAACCATATTAATTGACTTAACTCAAGAAATTCAAAACATCTATATACATCAAAAATCCCTGCTAGAATTATAATAAACAACCTAATTAACCTTAAACTGTTGAAAAAGAACTTACTATTAAATATCTATCTCAAATTATAAAAAAAATACATAAATATATATGGAAACCAAGTATAACACATGTTTAATAGCACATTTTATCTTTACCAACACTTACTAATATTAACATAGAATATATATTATTAACTTATAAACAGACAATATACTATATGACATTAGATTTATATAATTGATCCAAATATTCCCTTTCATCAAACCCATAGACTAGAGGTCTTAACCATTCTAGCTAAAAATAAACTGAGGGTAAATTTGCCCTAACCCCTACTCTCTTAGTTTAATGTATTAATTTGTACTAGTTGTACTTAATTATATATTACTGAAATAAAGGACTAGAGGAAAGACCTCTCTTAAAAAAAAAAATTACAATTTTTTTCATTTTGTCTGATTTCACTTTTTACAACTTAAATGTTTTTAATATGTTTCAAGAGAAAAAGAATAAAAGTCATAAGCCATTTTTTTACTGTGGAATTTCTGCCTTATTATCACACTTACATCCCTTTTAACATTATCCAAACTAGATAAATTGAGTTTGGTTTCAGTTGACATGCAGATGTCACAAATTACGAGAAGTATTGCATGCCAGAGATTAAACATTATTAAATGCTTATTGAAAACATGATACGTAGTAACATCGGTGCAATTGATGTACGTATAACCGAGTCGAGATATGCACCCAGAAATAGCAATTATAATTGTGCCAGGTATCACAATATACAGCTGAATCAGCGATGCATAGCATCAGCCGGTGATTTCTTAAACGCATAAAGCAGGCCAGCCTTGACAATAAGTTTTGAAGATACCCAAAATGGCTGGATTCAGCATGGGGTGGGAGGGTTCAGGCGCTAATATTACTGAGATTTGGTGGGTGCTATCATTATCTGTCTTCAGCTATTTCTGTATTCGTAATGGCGCTATTTATTAGTAACAACTCAATAATTACAAAATTGGCTGCTAATTGAATTGTATTTATCTAATTGCATACGTTTTCACGCGGCATTCGCTCATCTGACTTCTTAATACGGTCAATTAATTATTAGTACGTATGTACTGGTTCTAAGCCGGTGAAATAATCTGCACAACCTCTACCAGTATATCCCTGCTTAGCTACTATGATCACATTAACGTTAATTCTCAAGATAATTACCTGATAGCCAATCAAATACGTGAACTCTGAATTAGATAAAGATTAATAAAAAGTAATATATGTTTGATTATTTTTATCAGTTTGTGTAATGATCTCGTTTTTTTTGATTACAGCACTTAAACACAAAGAATTTTATACATCTACAGGTAAATTCTTTTGCAAATGCTTGCATTAGGCCTTGGCGTTTGCAACTACTACATCTAGAAGTACGTTTGATGTAGGGCCCAGCATGCCAGGCACAGCGATGGACATGGGAACTATGTTCTAATAGTACGTGTGCATGCACTCGTAATGCCTTAGTTTAATTTCTATTATAATATTTGCAACTACAAGTAGTATTTACTACATATTCGAGAAGTAAATATAGAAACCAAAAAACAAATAAAACAAATAATAATACTTAAAAATTTTTAATTTTTCAATTTTTACTTTATTATTCGAATAAATACAGTATTTATATTTAATTAAGAAGCTATACTTTTTTCGCATGTCTCTCGAAGTTTTCAACCAATACTTTTAACATTTTTATAAACATGTAATTTTGCCAAAAATTTTGATTTAGCTCATGTAATTTTGCCAAAATTTTTGATTTAGCACATGATAATTCAACATAAAAGTTTACGCCATATTTATTTTTCTCATGCGAAACTTCTAGTTCTATTGATTCTTGTAAGGATGCCATTTTTAAACCTCTCTATAGTCACACTCTATATAGTCACATTTACTTATAATTACACTAATTTTCAAACCAAATTTATATACGTAACGATAAAACATATATGAACAATTCTTTATGAATAGAATTTTTTGAAACCAAGTGTGTGATTATAGAGTTATTTGATTATATATCATCCAATGTAAGGTTAATTTAAAACCCAAAACTGTATTCGATAGTTTTGGAATCGTGAATTCTTTTTAAAAAAGATAAATTCAACATTTATCGTTATACATTTTGTTATAAAAAAACTATATATAAATATCAATATTTTTTTTTACTTGTTTTATAAGTACGAAGGTTTTTTTTAAAAAAAAGTACATATATATTTATTTATATTTTTTTTATCGTGTTTTGATTTTTTTTCTTTTTTCTTTTATTAATAATAAATTTTTATTGATATTATTTAGCATGAAACAATTAACGGAAGAAAAAAAGAACGAAATATGTGAAAAATTTATAAACTTGATAACTGAAAGTTTTGGAACACGAGATAAATTTACTGACTCAGTAAGAAATACTGTGAAAGAATATATCAATCTAATCGACCAATATGAAGGAGTTGAGAGTAATTATCAAGAACAACAAGCCCGAACCTTTAAATTAAGGGATGCACTTTTAACTATAGTTACTAATGCATATAATGAAGGAGAACGTTTTTGGGCTGAAACTTGGGGAAATTTTTTAACAAGAATAATTTATGAAGAAAAACTACAAATTTGTAAACAAAATCATTAATTATTTTACAAAGTTATTTTGACTCTTGCTTAACAAATTAAAATTATTATCTGAACTGCCAATATTTCATTTTTTAAAGAAAAATTTTATTAAATATATTGTATCCTTTTATTTATAAATAGGCAATAAACTTATTTATGCTTTTATATTTTACAATAAAGTTTACAAATATTCGCATTTAAATATTGTATTATCTTGCATACTTTAAACTTTGATTGTGAGAATTTTGACTTGGTTTATTGTTGTTAGATGAAAACTATAAGATTCGTCTTTCATCAAAAACATTTGAAAAAGCGAAATGATGAGAATGACATAGCTAGCAAAGATAATAAATTAATAGAACAAAAATATTATCAAGATAAAAGTTATATTTTACTTGAATTGTCATTTTTATTTTTCCAAAAGATATTCCCCTTCATCTTCATAATCTTTACAGTATTATTGATATTCGAATTAAAAGAACTATTTGTATATTTTTTTATAATGAGTTTGAATTGCGATCTTTGTCTGGAAAAATATCAATTCATCAAAATTCCAATTAAATATATAAAATAATATGAATTATTATTTTATCTGATATAGATAATAAATTTTTAAAGATTTTTTTTTTATAGCCTACCTTAAACCACTTTTATGTAGTGGCGTTTCTCTATCAAAAAATAATTTTAAAGGTTAAAATTTTATAAGCAGCATTAACTTTACATCCAAAGTTATTGTAAAATACTTTATTAAGTTCCTGGTACAGCCACAATACATACAAAATGTAAGGCATTAAAAGAATAATGCTCTAACTTGCAAACTATAGCAATGCACTAGGTCTTTACCAGGAATTTGTTAAGCTTTCACTTTCTTCAGGGATTTTATCTTTTGTTAGGGGTTTTGTCCTTGTTACTTTTTTCTTTCAAGTGATTAGGTTTCGTTATTCGTTCCCTTATAAAATAGTTTCGTCTAACATCACAAGTTGCACTTAAGCTTCTACTGGAAAACGGCGAAATCATCTTATTAACGCAACTATAAAGCTTCGTATATTAAACCGTGTATAAGCATAAGCATTATTTGTATAATCATTCCAGATGCAACATCTACAGGAGGTTACATAACTAAACGTTTGAGTTGTTCAAATAGAGTTAGAAATAAGCAATTGTATTGTACTGTACTGATACATCATATGTTAGTTCCAGTGCAATTTCCTAAATTTCATGTTATACGTATTATAGGAAAAAGTAGGTTCGCATTAATTCTTTGCTTTGATTTGTTATTCTGTAGTGTTGTATATAAATGTGAGCTATATTGCCTATTTTAACTAAAAAGAATCGTAAATAAATAATTTTGTATGCTATTATTCTTATTCTGGTTTTTCTTACTGGGGCAACAAGTTATAAGCATACAATATTTCAACATAGTTTCTTTTCTAAATATAAATGATGCCTTTTAAATATTTTTTTTTTGGTTTTTTTATGGACCCAATCAAATCTCTATCGATCAACTATGGACCCAAGATATAGTACAAAGCTGAAAGTTTATATAGTAGCAAGATGCATACACATTTTTCATTTATACTGTATGTGGGTCTAATTCATGATGAGTATATTGTTAAGGTGATTTTGTATACGATTATTTGAAGCACTTAAATCAAATGATATAATAATTGAAACAAGTGATTATGTTAAATCAATTAGTTATCTTTAACTATATATTTATAAAGACCAATCTGCAATGTCTTTAAAAACAGGTCCTTATTCTCCGGCTTTTATTTATATGTACTTCTATACTATTTTTCATGCTTATTGCCCGGATCTTAGATTAAAGCTGATCCGGAATCTTCATGATTTTTTTTTTAATGATTATTACGGGTTTTTTAAAGCGGTAAATTGCTAACAAAAAGTAAAAATTGCTGGCTAAAGAAAAAAGGAAGAAATCAGAAGAAAATAAAGAAAGTTTTGTGATTATAATAAAGTTCAATATTTATAGAATACCAACTGATTTTAAAATAGTATATAAGGATAATAAGAATCTACAACAGTCCTGAGATAAACATGCGCATTACTTTCTTCAATGTTCATGAGTTAGTATTTTCTTTTTCTTACAAATATTACATTTCTTGATAGGATGAACAAGGTTGTGTAAAAGTGCGCGTTTCATTTTAAACATATTAAAGTTCGAGATACATTTCGACGTATTTTAGTGCATTAAAAATACGGTCTTTTTTAATCAAACTATCGTCAGACATATTTCATGTTTAATATTTGCAAATAAATTTAAATACCGTATTATGTACCACGATGCTAAGTGAGTCTTTTCTTTTGGTAGAGCTCATTTAGTCTAGGTAGAGCTCATTTAGTCTATATTAAATTTACCGTACTGAGATTAATCAACGTTAATTTACATGAAGGTTGGAAAATTACGTGTAATTTGTAAGAAACATGATCATTATATCATATGATTCAATGTGATTGGTTGGATCATATGCGTGTCGTAAACTTAATACAAAATCTTTAATGGCTAGCTAAATTTTCATAACACTGGCATTATATATCACGTGTGAAATTTACTGAAACTTACGCAAAATTACATGTACTGTAAGTTTGTAAAATGTAATTTTCAACTCTACATGTGAGTGCCGTCAAAAGAAAACCTGCAATCGGGCTTTCATATTTTGGTCATCTATCGGCAATCTATCAATCATATTTTGTGTGATAGATGGCCAACTGTACACAAAATATAATTGAAAAACCTGATTGCAGGTTTTCTTTTGACGACACGTAGTAATAGCCTTTTTGCTTATTAGAGTCTAATAGGATTTCTATATAAAGGGTGATGGTCGCTAATAAAGGTAGAACTTTTGGAAAAAATATAACAATAGTACAAACTCCTTTCAGTAATAGTCTTCCTCTCGCGTAACTAATATTAAATAAGATCTCTTCTTCGCTAAACTATTTTGTACAAAGAATCTTTTGGGCTTTATAGTATTAATAAATAAATATCGCTCTTATCATTTTAATGCTTACGGTACTGAGATAGATTGGCTAATATCACGAATTGCTCTCCCCCACCGTAACAACAGGACCTTTTTTTAAATCACTAAATAAATTATTATACTATATAAAAAAACTGCAATGATTAGTGTAATCGTTATATAATGAAACTAATACTAGCGGAGATATAAAAAAGGTCCTGTCCAAGGATTATCAAACATCCGGTATAATTGCTTGATATTAATTTATGTAATTGTAAAGTTACTTAACAATTTATATAAATTTACGTTGTTTTTTGTGTAGTATTGTCGAAGGTCCATTGAATGCATAAAATATTCGTGAAAAATTATGTAAAGTCACATAAACTCATGTTTTTTACCTAGTAATTTCGTAGAAAAAAGTTTGTGAAGTAGGTAAGTACGTACGTTTAACTGTTATGAGCCATTTCACAATTTAGGTCGATATTGACCTAGGTCATTATTAAATTTTGAAACGACTAGGCCATTTCTCAATCGATGAATTTTTAAATTTTTAAAATTATATGCACAAGCGATAAGTTATATAACCCAAGCAATAATATTAATTATTTCTTTTGGCATGAAAAAAGCAAACTTTTACATAAAGGATCAAAACTTATAAAAATTCTTTATAATAAAATTTAGCTAGATTGGAAAAAATCCTCTAATGCTTCAAAAAAAAAAAAAAAAATCAAAAAAAATCATATAAATAAAAAATGCGCAATACAAATAAATAATAGAAAGAACACAATAAAAAAATGCACGTTAAAGCATAAACCGTTTTCAACAAAACAAACTTATGCCTCCAGGTCATTTAATAGTATAAAGCTTTTCAGTTGCACCAACGTAAATAATTTTAAAATTACGTTACTAAATATTTATACAAGGCGTTTTGATTTTAATTACAGTTAAACAATGATTATATTTATTTTGATCCATTAAACAGCGATTGTTTTTTTTGATGAATTAAAACTTTTAATATTCGATTAAAGGTTTCACGCGTCAAAAGGTCGTAACTTTCCATTTTAAAAATAATAAGAAAAAAAAGTATTTCTCGATAAAGTTAAACATTCGAAAACTTTTATTTATTTATTAATTTTTGTTTTTTTGCATTAATTAATTTGACATACGTAATAATTCTGGGATCTAAATTTTTATCAAGTGATGACCCATGGGGTGTGACAAATAAACACCGACTAATTTATTTATATAAATAAATTAGTTGGTGCTTATTTGTCACTCAATAATTAATCACACCGTGATCCAAATTTCATTAAAAATTAACCTGTGGGTCATTTCTGAATCGGTGACAATTTATGAATGACCTAGGTCAATTCGGAATCGATCTAAATTGTGAATGACTCAGAACATAACTGTTCATACGTGCGTACATATGTTATTTTATGGGTTGTAAACAATACTAAATTTGCACGGGTTAACCGTTAAATGGCTGAAGGCATAGGTTAACCTTGCAAATTTAGTTATTTTCTATAACTAATATAATAACCATATTATTGCACAGTATCTGATGTACAATTCCGCGCCAATAAGTAAATGAAAAAAAAAACACAAGTTATTGCGCATTCATACGTATCAATTTTTATTGAATTTATTATGCCGAAATAATAACCGGATCAACTGAAAAATCATTCGGTTAATTTTTTTACTGGTGTCCCAGGAATTATAAAAACAGCTGTAATTTTGAGACATCAATGATAAACTTTTGATTTGAATATAACGATAATTATATGTATCGATGTTTTTTTGCAATTGTATTTTGAACGATACTATAATGTTGACGCATCCAAAATTAAGTTTTCATTTGAGTATTTTTTGTGTTTAGTCTGTACGAAAATTTATGGCGAAAATTGTTCTTGCTAACCAACAAATCTTGACAAAAAAACACAAAAAAGGTTTCGAATATAACACAAGCATTCATAATAAATACATTATACGTGCAGGCATTAATAAAAAAAAAAAGTTCAATATGAACAAGAATTGATTACTGGTTAAAAAATATATATAACACAAGTTATTATTCTAAACAATCAAGATTTTATTAATATTTGTCGATATCGTATTAAGAATTATAATCGACGAAATCACTAATATTGTATTTATGATTATTACAAAATATAAGTCAAAAAGAACTAGCAAGAATTAGATGAGAGTATTGAAACAATGGATTTGATGATTGAAGAACCTTTAGCTTGTTCATCTATGATAAATATTATAAAGACTCTCGCCTTGTCTGAAATAAAGTAAATTCATATATTATACTTTGTGATGGTTTTTTTTATAATTTCTACAATTTCTAATTCAGTTTCAGATTTTTTAGTATTTACCTCATCCGCTTCAGCTATATTATTATTATTATTATTCAGAAATAGTTAAATTTGTATTCAAATAATCAATTTCTGTTAATGTACAAATTATCTTCTATAAATAATAATAAATGAACATACCTTTGAAGAAATATAATCCATTTTCCCAAGAGGATTAATAAAAAAGACTATATATTATAAAAAATACAAACAAAGAAGTATGAGCTACTATTATCTATTGATGTTTTCTGTGTTTTTGATAGTACATGTAGTAGGATTTTTCTCATTTTTTTTCAAAAATTGTCACGCACAGAATCTATGCCTCCTTTAACCGTCTAATACAGACCTTTTTATTGGCGTTAGCTTCAAATAAACCGGTTGGTTTTTGTTGTATAGTAAAACAAAAAAAGTTTCGATCAATATTTAGATACGAAAAAAGAAGATCGAAGTTTATTTTTTTCAGATTATTAAGATTACAGAAATCGTCATACTAATCGTTGTACGTAACTGATCTTAGGGTTCGTGCAAAAATATGCAACAGCTGTAATCGATTCAGTCCGTTCTATAATTGGTCTTACGATAAGAATTTTTTTTTATCAATTCAATTTACAAACCACAAATTCTTATATTTTTATTAATATGATACTTTTTTTTGTGCGAATCAAATTTAATAAATTTAACTACAGTAGTTTTATATTCTCCAAAAGCGTGCAATAAAACAATTACAATAGTTTTCTAGTAATCCAAAGCGCAGATTTCTTGTTGAAGCTAGTTTTTTTGACACATGCAATTCATTGCCTAATCTATTTTCTTATGAATAATAAGATTGCCTATGAAGAATGTTTGATTTGAAGCCACGCTGATGGCTTGTATTTACTTAAGGTAGGCAATATTAAATAATTTTATAATTTATTTCGTAAATTACTTGATAGTGTATTTGTTGGTAATGTAAAGGTAGACTGAATAAAAGAAGAGGATAAATTGGTTGAGTGTGCTCCGATAATTTGTGAAGCATTGGGAACGAATGTAAATGTCTTTATTATAGTTCATTGTTGAAAAGAATTATTTTTTATTTTCTTTTTATTAATTCATCATTTTTTATCAACCATATATTTGAACCAGGGAAGGACCGTTAGGGACCGAGGACTGAAAATCATTCGGCCCTCAGTCTTTACGAAGACCGACCCACATTAATATACCATGACACAACATCGATATTGCTTGATAATTCAATAACAGATTAGCAGCCATATTTGATTACCTATAGTACTGAAATAGAAAGTTGATTTGTCTATATGCGTGATTTTTTTTAAAAAACTTAATAGTAAAGGTACGTAATGTGCATTTATACAATTAATTTCTGAGATTTAATTGGTTACATAATATTATATAAATGCATAAAATTAAATCTTTTTTTGTCTTTACCGATGGTATGAATTTAGAAAGTATCGAATGTAGTACAATACTGAAACTCAAATTTTATAAATCTACGTTATTTGTGCGTACGTACAAACGAGGATCAGAATGCACATCTGCCCGAATCTGTATTATTTATTAAGGATGGTAAAACATGATTTAAATCATATTTTGTATTCTGTAATTTAAATCATTTCATCTTTATTACGTAATTATTAGACATGGCTTTATTATTGCAACTATAGTTATGTACAATATATAAATTATATTTTTTAGACCAAACTTGAATATTCAATAGATGCCCAGAATAATGATACAGAAAATTTTTACATGCGTCACATTTTCAAATGTATGAACTGTTTCAAGATCAAGTTAACCTTACCGTACATTTAAATTTCTCTTATTATTTGATTATGTTAAATGCTTTAAATCAAAAATCACTGATTCAAATCATCGTGATTTAAATCTTGTGCCATCCCTAAATAATCTTTATTAATCAACGATTCTAAATGGATCATAAATACCGCAAGAGATTATAAAGATTACCGTACCGCACTGCATACAGTATCCCTTAGAATAGTACCTATTAAGTTAACATCTTATGATTGTCATCTAATATCAATAAGGTTTGTGCAATTACTCTTATGTCTTATCTAAGATTCATTCGAAACACTTCCTTTTGGATTTTATCCTTTTCCTCAAATGATATTTCCCGGGTACAAATCAAGTTAGCTATGGTTTTTTGATTGGTACCCGAGTAATATATGCAGCGGCATTAATATATCGACCTGTAGAAACTCAAATTCCGAATAGATTAATTTTTGTAAGAGTGTAAGTTTATAGCTACTCTTTGATTATTTAAATCAATTTTTTTGTCCTTAAATTTTAACTAAATTTTAGTCAAAATTCATAATATTAATAATGTTCAGTAAAAAACATTTTGTTTTTACTGATATCCCTGATCTTTCTGGCAAAGTATGTTAAAAGTGTTCAATGTTTATTTAAAGATTCCATATTTATTGTAATTTCCCTTCAATAATTAATAATTCAGGTTGCAATAGTAACTGGTGGAAATAATGGTATAGGTTTCATAACTTCTAGAGAATTGACCCGAAAAAATGCTCATGTATTTGTCGCAAGTCGTAGTAAAGAAAGAGGTGAATCAGCTGTAGAATTAATAAAGAAAGAAACAAATAAAGATGCTATCGAATTTTTACAATTGGATTTAACAAGCTTAAATAGTGTTAAACATGCTGCTGAAACCTTTTTGGCTAGAAAATTACCATTACATATTCTGTATGTAATCTTTTATATCTTATTATTATTAATTGGGTAATTGACTAATTCAAAATTTATTACTTTATTTGTAGAGTTAATAATGCTGGTATAATAACAACGTAAGTTTTTTTTTTATTTCTCACGCGCAATTCATATCTTAATCCCAAATTTTATATCCATATCAAAGCACATTTGAACAAACTCAAGATGGCATTCAAGACCATTTTGGTGTTAATCATATTGGCCATTTTGTAAGTAAATGATCCTGTAAAAGATCTTTGAATTACTTTATTGACAGGTCATTTAGCTGACATCACGCTTTGTGATAATATATTATACTTGCAACTAATAACATGCTAAATTTTCATTTGATGTCGGCTAAATTACCTGCCGGTGGCGATGTCGCACCAGCATTAAGATATTAATATCGTTATGCATTTTATAAATTACGAAATAGCTTTTTACACTCTTATTATTGCCAACCATCAAGGCTTCGGCTCCATCACGTATTGTCAATGTTAGCAGGTAGTCAACTTACATTTTATATAACTTACTTTCTATATAAAAATCCTGAAATAATCAAGATATTTAAAATTATCGTCATGATCATAGCTATGGTCATAATATTGTTCCATCAGATGGAATAGAATTTGACAAATTGAACGATCCAAATGCCCACACTACTTTAGAAAGATATGGCCAATCGAAACTTGCAAATATTTTATTTACCCTTGAACTTAATAAAAAACTTTCAGGAACAAAAGTTTATTGTAATTGTCTTCATCCAGGTAAATAAATTATAATTTAAATTAGTATTTTAATTAAATTGTAATTATATTAAATTACATTAATTTTTACACTATTTAATGTTATAAATTCATATAAATTGAATAAGGTGTCATAAATACAGATCTAACCCATAAACTGGTTAATAATTGGAGTTCTTGGATAAAACCAATTTTTTTTGTGTCAAAATTATTTTTGTTAACACCTGATGATGGCGCGTTAACTCAACTTTATTGTGCTACAAGTCCTGAAATTGAAGAAAATAATTATCGTGGAAAATATTTTATACCTTTTGGTGAATTAGGTGAAACTTCTGATCATGCCAAGAATGAAGAATTGGCTAAAAAATTGTGGCATTTTTCGGAAACCTTTGTTAAAGAAAAATTAGGTTATGACGTTTTTAATAAATGTTATGCATAGATTACTCAATATCTATAGTATGTTACTTTGTTGGAATTCTCTTCTATATACTATTATTAGTCTTTAGTGTTTATATATATTATAGCTCTCACTCGCTCGCTAAGGCGAGCTCTCAATATCAATTATTTTCTGAATGAAGTATCCTGTAAAAATAAGTATGGTATAGGATAGCTTATCCCAACAATTTTAACTGACTTGTTTTAAAAGCTTACCCTGTCTTAATTTTATATTTAATAAAATTTTTTTTTAGTCAAATATTTTTTAATATAATTATATTTTGGCAAAATTATTTTATTTAAATATTGATTTAATTAAAAGTTATAACATTTTTAAAATTTACCTATTTTTATGTTATAGGTTACTAATACTGTTATAGAGATAGGCATCAAGAACCTTATCACAGCATGATGATCAATTGTTATATATTATCATTTATGTAATAAAAAATTGTAATGATAAAAAAATCTGCAATATTAAAATTTATATAGGACTACACATATTTTGGTTTTATTAGGTGATTGGTCATCCAATACAATAATCATTCTTAGAGTCATCAAAGCATGTATAAGATCATATTTGACATTCATTAGAAAATTGGTTTTATTTTTTTGATATATAATTTTTACTAAAAATAAAGAAATAATTTGCTATACTTAATATATTAAATTGTAATATCATATTATAAAAATTTTCTTGATATCTTTCAGTACAAGTTTAATTTATAAAGTAAGAAATCTTTGAGTTAATATAACTAATTTATATTTTTCATTATTTTCAATAAGAATAAAAGAATTATTTTTTTTTGCAATTTCTTTTGTTTCATAAATTCAATTTGAATTATTAAAAATTTTTATATAATATAAAATTGAATTTAAAAAATAAAATAAGTAAAAAATAATTTTAATATCTAAGTATTTTTTTTAAATGTAATTAATATAGAAAACAATATAAGTTAATAAATAATAATTTAGATATTATAAGTCTTTATTTTTTTAGTATTCTTTATACTATAATCTAAGTTATTATCAAATATTTTTAGAAGATTACAAATAAACATTATCAGTAACTTCTTTATATCTCTGATTTTATATATAATTATAGCTTTAAATAGAGAATTTAATATCTCTGTGTTTAATATTTTTATTCTATTTAACAAATATATGATAAATAAATTTATTTTTTATAAATAATATTATTTATGAATAATTTATTAATCTCTTTTAATGAAGTAAGATTTTTTTTAATTTAATTATACTTAATATTTGAATATATATTTTAAAATACTTAAAATATAGAAGATAAGCATTTGATAATAAATAATTTTTTAAATATAAAACTCTTAGTAATCTATATTTAAAATTTATTTATTAAGCTGTATTTCAGACTAATTTGTTTAGAAAATTAGTATTTTTTAAATAAAATAATAATTTATTAATAATATAAAATATAGTTTGCTTATAAAATATATTTTTAAAAACATATTTTATAAACTTTATTATAAAATTTTATAAAAATATTAATAAATCTTTATATATTAAAATTTAAAAATTTATTTAAAAACTTTTTATTATTAAAAGTTTTTATGATTTTATATATTTCTAAAACTAAAAAAAATTATATTTGTACAAATCTAAATTTTAATAAGTAATTGTAAAAATATTAATAATAAAAATTGGCATTTTTTATATAAACTAAAATATTGTATTAAGAACTATAGGTTTAAAATTAAATTTAATAATTTATCAAAAAATTTATAAATAATTTTTTTAATTAAATTTTTTTAAATTTATCTTTTTTTTTTTTTTTTAATGTTAAAGTCCTTGCTTTTGGGAATCGATTTTTTTATTTAAGTATTTAGACATGGATGCCTCCAGAGGCTTTCATACATAGGAGGTTACAACTAGTTACATATACACTTTTGGTACCTAATTTAAGTAGTCTGCCTATATATTACTATACAGGTTCTACACTAGGTGCTATACTTGCAAGCCAACTACAAATCTTGCCTATTTAAACTATCTGCATATGTAATCTGACTTGTGATTACAGAGATATCTTCTGAACTACATCTATCCAAAGTACCTGATGCTTTTGAGACCCATAGGACTAGTTTATTCTCGACAGAAAACTTATTAGAACTTTCTGTGTCCTACACATAGCTAATCTAGTTTTATGCAACATGTTATAGTTATTTAACACTTGCAGTCATAGAGATTACCTGTTTAATTGCTATTGTAATAGAATTTATTTTTTTTTCTATATTAGTATATATTTATTTTTAGCTCTATATTATATTTTATAATTTTCCTAATATTTTTACATAG